AAAAATTTCTGTCTTGGTATTGGTCTTGATCCAGTCTATAAGGCCAACTGGTTCATACTATATAAGTTATAATATTTTTTAATAAGATTATAATATGCTTAATACCTCCATAAAAATACTATTTGAAAATATTATAATGATACATAATTTAATTTTTGTATATCATTGTTCATAAGAATATTATTTGAAATACGGTAAAAATATTAATAATATTAATATCATTGTTCAGAAGTTGGAGTACGGTAAAAATCAAATATTAATAATATTTGGATGGAAGGCTTAATTAAAAAATAAAAATAAATTCCTCATCTGGGCCGGCTTAGGGGGGAGTGTAGTGAGTGGTCGCCACCACCGTCGGGCGAGGGCGGAGGACGTGCGCACCGATCCCCACCGCCCATCGACGCGAGCGCCCACGCGCCGCTCCATGTCGCCCCCGCGGCACGGCACCCCGCAACACGTGGCGCGCTTCCAAAGGCCTCCTCCTCCGGTTGGGGCCCCCTGTCAATACCCAATGATCGACTACATTACACATTTCCCCCACCCCTTCTTCCTTATCTTTCATCACTACTTCTTCTTGACTCCATTTTTGACGTGAACGATGCGTGCCCATGACGTGAAGGGTGGGCAAAGGTGTATTAAAAGGGGCGACACCATGCCATGCCATGCCATGCATGAGATTGTGGTGGTGGAGACCATCGAACAAGTTGGACTTGGTAAGAGGGATGTGTTGGATTTAACAAAGGGAGGGGGAGAATCTCTCAATTCGACCACTAGTCCAAGTCTTTTTGTCCTCAGATAGGGACTTATCCTTCCAGCCACAGTGCTACGGCTTGTATGCATACACTCCTAGGACTGCATGCTTTATGTGCAGAAGAGACCAGGGTGGGCCTCACAGTGAACATAAGATTGTATCTCTTGTCTTACATCTGTTTGATTAGATGCTGAATCTTTGGCCTTTTTCTTTTTTGTTTTCCTTTTCTTGCTTTTTGTAGCCTTGTTTAGCATATAAATTTTCAGGATAAGGTCTTCTTGCATGGCAATTATGCAGAGTCCAGGTCACAAAATCTTACTGCATTTCTTCTCTTCTGCAAATAAGGTATATAATAGACACCGGAGTTGTCATGCAACTCTGAAGGGACAGTTGTGTGGCACTCACTCGAGTAGAATCTCAAGTTTCTCTGTAGTACTACTATAGCATCACATAATTAACAACTCATTGCCCATAATTACACTGGAGATTGTTCTGAAAGGGAAAAGGCAACTCATCGCCCGAGATTAGCTATCACCATACTGAGCCATGCATGAAGCAAATCAACAGCCTGAGCAGAATGGAAAGGTGGGTGAATCTTAGCTGTTCAGTCAACACAAGTCCCATTATGTCTTCCCTTTCATGGTTTAGTTTAGTTCCTTTTAAGATACTATTTCCCACATACATATGATCTCTCTCTCTCTCTCCTCTTCTACCAACGTGCTTTGGAAGCCGAGCAAGTGCGTTTGCATTCCCCACAGACATGCTCCCCACCCCCAACCCAAGAATCCTTAAAAATCCACACACTATGGTCCAAAACAAAGCCTAACACCATTCCTCTCTCTCTCTCTCATTCATTCCTTTATATATCTTCTTTACTTTGTCTCCTGCCTAACACCGTTCCTCCCCTTGCTCTTTAGCTGAACTTGAGCTGTGCTACTTCCTCCTCTTAGTTCAACTGCCTCTCCTCCTCATGGAGGCTAAGGTTTACTGGCCAAAGTTTGGTGATCCTGGTGGTGGATACAGATGCTGCATAAAGCATCATCTCGTATCCATATGAAGAAATCAAGCGCGTGAAGACAAACGAAGTGGTGGTTCGAAAGCTGTGCAGCTGCCGTCTCCTTTGCTCTACTTCCCACCCTAGCAGGGCTCTTGGGAGATTCACGTTGCACTGTGGGGAATTGAGGTTCGTGGTCCGATATCTCTAGGTGGCATATATTTTCTGTGTGTTTCTATCTCTCAATGTCTGTAGTTTTCTTTCCCTCTGGGTGAAGATGGATGTAAGGGACGCATTCTAAGTCTAAAGGAAGGATTTGATGCTAAGAATGCATCACTTACACTCGTCATGTAGTAGCTAAGACTTCGATAACTGCTGTAACATTAGCAATGGCTGCCTTGGACAATTTGCATTGCTCTTAACTCTCCTCACAGGGGAGAATATTCACGAGTTGAGATTGATTTGCACCTGTCAAACTTAGGGCTCATTTGTGTCTTCCTTTATGTCGCTTTAAAGCAGAGAGCTACAGTTGGAGAGACCGTACCTTGACCTCGCAATAGGGGAGGATGTCTTATCCCTGTCTCCATGAGTCTGCGTCATTGTGGACTCTGACATGCAGTACTATTACTAGCAGATGGATTCATGTACATGTTGAGAGCTTTGGTCTTGAGCTAGAATTGATGCTGATGCTGATGCTGATGCTGATGATGATGATGGAAAACTTGCTCTAAAAAGTTATGCTTGCAGAATCTAAGATATAAGAATGGATGATCCATAGTTAAAGACAACAGAACTAACAAGTATCAGCAGCTCAGCAAACAGGTAGGTGCTTTGTGTTGTCCCTTTGAAGAACTAATCCCAAACAAAGCTACCCTTCTGTGATGGAAACTGTGTCGTGAGAGAGAAAGAGATAATTTGGCTAGACAGCGAAACAAATAATTTCATGTTCTATGAAAAAGAAAGACATCATTGCCACAGTTCTTCTGCCTCCAATTACACTACTGTCATAAAATTATATGGTAGCATTGTCATATTGCAATTGATGATAACAATAAAAGGAGAAGATGAAAACATTGGATCTGTTCATCTTTAGACCACAAGAAACGCCATGATTCGGTTCTGTTCCCTGCCTTTTTCATCCCAAGGATCCTCTGCACCGTGAAAGAAAAAAGAATCCTCTGTTCCCAAATCCAAGAATTTTCAGATCTACGCTAGATTTGGGGTTCCACTTAATTGGACGACTTCTCAAGTCAACTCGTTGAATGGATCAAACCTCCATGACTTCCGCCCTGCTAGACAAGTTATTTGCGACCGTTGACTCTTTGAGAAAGAAGTAAAGGAAGAAGCTGAACCCAAGAGAAGAAGAAAACAATCAAGAATCTAGCAATCGTTGACACAAACGGAGATGGAGTTCAAAGATGGCCGCAGATTTTTTATTGGGAAGAAGTTGAACCCGAGTGAGGAAGAAAACAATCAAGAAAGCAAGCAATCGTTTCCACAAATGGAGATGGAGTTCAAAGAAGGCTGCAGATTTTTTATTGGACTCGGGTCCTACCAAAGACTTGAGTGCGCCACCGTGTGGCCACCGTTGCTTGATGGATATCCATCATCTTCCACTATGTCGACTCCCATCCATCCTTCGGAACACACCCAATTCAATCGAATCATATGTGCATTTTTTTTCCTCAAATTTCATACTTAAGATGGAGTTTTATAAGATAATAAGTGTATTTTAACCAACATATTCACAAAAAAAAAAACAATTTGAGTAATGTAAATATGGTTATTTGAACTTGGAACACGTAATTATGTACAAGTTTCATTATCATTGCACATACAATTCTGCAACACACACCTGATCATCTGTAGCATTATAATATAGACAAAGAAATTTCACATACAATTATTAGATATGAACACATATATACAATGAAGAAGAATACTGTTCTCAAAAGCTAGCCAAGTCAAAGAGTCTGGTCACCCTCGCCCCCCTTATCTGTGGCACAAAAGTATAACAGCATATCACCCTTTAAAGGAGAACCAAACGCTTGCACTGCTCTCGCGCGATCATGGCGATCGGCGATCTCTTCCACACCATGTCGGCTCTCATGGAGACGTGCAAGAAGCAGGTGTCGCATGTGGCGAGGAGGCTTCGGTCGCACCCAAGCCTCTCGAAGCTAACCGCCGTCGGCACGAGGAAGGATGGTGGGCGTGGCGGTGCGCCCTTCCTCCACCGCGGAGCCAGCTTGATCCCCTTCCTCAGCAACAAGAGAATAGCTGACGACAAGAAGAGACACGTCGGCGGCGAAGGGGAAGAGGAGGCGGGCGGCGTGTGGCAGAAGACGATACTCATGGGGGAGAAGTGTCAGCCGCTCGACTTCTCAGGGGCGATACACTACGACAGTTCCGGGAGGCAGCTGTCGTCGCCGCGGACGCCGCTCCGTACCCCGATGACTTCCTTCGCCTTCCACGAAGAAGAAGACGAAGAAGAAGTCTCTCTTCCATGAACATCCTTCATCCCTCTATGTTATGCTGGCTTCATCTCAACTCCCTCCTTTTTCTTTCGTCTCTGCTTGCGGTGTGATTGGTTCTTTGTTTGGAAGTATGTTTTACTGTGCAAATGATCGAAGGAGTGCGTAGGTTTTCATCGAGTTCGTCTTTTTGTGCCTTATTCTCTATTAGATATCTGTAACGAAGAAACCATGGCGAAGTGAAGACAGTCGTGGTTGATGACCGATGGATTACGGCAATCGCGTGTACCTGTGAATATGAAAGGGTTGACCAAATCCCTTTGCAATGTTAGCCTCGATGGGGACTTTATTCTTTATAATACAATGTCACATTGAGGTTGTGCTTAAACATATAAATATATGTGCTTACATATACAAACATCAATTTGATTGCTCAAAATTAGATCATGAACATGAGTCATCAGGATGGATCTTCGATACTCCTCATTTTGATTAGAAAATAGTTCATGAAAACTTTACTTTTTCTGTTACACGTGTCATTTAATAACATCAAAAAAGATATTTTATATTATTATTAGACAACTCGATTATAGAATTAGCGTGAAAGAAAAATGATTGAAAATAATATTTAAATGTACAATCAAATTACTCGATAAATATTCAGTAATAATTCAATTAGCTCAAACCGTTATTGTTACATGTCAGAAAAATAGTACACGTCCAGCTGCGATCGTCGTGGCAACGGTTTGTGTAACGGCTGTTATTTATAACCTAATTCCTTTTTCGAACCTCCGAGGAATCTCCCTCCTCCTCCTCCGTCCGTCTGCTCCGGCAGCGGCGACTACTCGGACGGTGACGATGGGCGTGGCTGATCGAATGGAGCCAAACAGAATGACAGCTCCCCGTCGTTCACTACCTTCGAGCTGGAGGAGCTCGACGGCGACCCTTTTCACGCTCTCCTCTTGAACCCGTTGTTCTGCTTGAAGGTAAAGAAAGAGTTCGATTGCTAATTGCTTTTTCCTTCACAGGATTAGCGTGATTGTTCATCATGGGTGCGCATTTTTTTGGTTGCCGTTCTTGTTAGGTTTTTCTTGTCCTTTGTTGTTTATCAGTTTGATTATTTACATTCTCCCATACATTATTGATGATTTATGCTTTTATTCGTTCGGCATAAGTGTTATTTGATATTTTATTGAGTTTAAATTTAGCGAAAACTATTAGCAGAAGTCTTTCGATCTAATGTATTGAGGGTTTGGAGAAATATTGCACATGAAGTTTTCATAGTGTCGATGAAGAAAATCTTATTATTAGGTAATTAAAACCTAAGGGATAGAAAATTTTAGACTGCAGAGTCTGGATGCTTTATGATTTGATCTTTCTTTCAAAAAGAGATATACCATTTACAGCTTCATATGTGATCTTCTTATTAGGTAGATTTGGTAGATTAAAGGAGAAGTAAAATGTCTCATACGAAAGGGAAAGATTATCTATTTTTAATTGTTAAATTAGTAGATCCACCTGTTGGCAACATATACATTATTCTGAAAAGAATTGAGAAAACCTTATATATTCTGTTGTATTTTCCAGCAGCAGATGCAGCACCCTTGATAAACTCTTACTTTTTTTGTTGCGAAAATGTGGGTTCTACATCACGTCCGGACCTCAGTGTTTAATCTGTAGTTTTGTCAGAAGGCCCCTTTGGAACCTTCAATATCAAAGGTAGAAACCCATTAAACATGGCTGATATAAAAATTCATATGGTGAAATTAATCTACATAGTTCTTCTCCTAGTTACCTGTGTTTGATCTGAGACATTTGTCATTGTTTTTTTTCCTTTGTCCATGATTTCACTTTTATCGGAGGAGATCACTGCCTCTGTGTGCAGCAGTCTACAACCCTATAGTGATTGTCTCTTGGATATTTCTCTTCTCCATGGAAGTTAGTGCTTCTTTTAAAATCCAATTTTCATTTGACCTGATCATGCAGCTCTTGTTTGTTCCTTAGTAAAAAGAAATGTAATGTCATCATCAAAATTCTTCTGCAAAATCATCCAAGAAATCTAGTGACCTGAAACAGCAAAGGTAAAACTAAAATTTCCATGCATCCTTTTCCATAGAACAGATGGGTCACAAGCAAAGAAAGAACCTTTTTAAAATTTAATACTGTCTATTGATCTATTCTACAGCTTTGGGATCAGTAAGTTGTAAGCAAAGATCGTATATCAAATGAGAAACTTATAGATAAATGAATATATTGCTTGATACAACGAACAAGAAATATCATTGTTATATGCTGATCACGAATGAATAGTCCTATGATTAGTGATACCAGGTAAATTACATTAACATATATAGACATGTTTAGGACATATATATGGTACTGCATATTATACTGCATAATGGAAGATGCAGGCTCCACATCTGAGACCTATGATGAATGGGAGTAACCTTATTTACTCTTTAAGTGGAGAGATTTGGAGACAAGGCTACAAATTTAAAAAGTCCAATTTAACTCCCTTTAAGGAACCTTATCTTTATTTCCATTTGGAGGAAGCACATGTAGAGAGAGACAATAGCTCTCAAAATTAAATGAGTAGCTTGGTTTATGGTACTCATGTAAGAAGGAAGGGAGATGCTCGTGGCTAGTGGCTTTCGAAAAGATGGGTGAGGTCAACGCACCTTTCGTGGGTAGGTGGGACAATTCTTTTGGAATTGGCTTTGACCTTGAAATTCTCAGTCTGATTTTACTTTGAAAACAAATTTAGTGTCAGACCAAATCATCCGTAATTTTCTTTTTCAGTTATATATCTAGTTCGTGGTTCATATGATATTATCTAGTTTGTTAGTTCATAGATGATATAAATATCAAGCATTTTGTTGATTCGTGATATGAATTAGTTGTCATAACCATTCTTGATTAATTGGGCAATGACGCAAAAATAATTGATCATTTTCTTACTTTTTTTACTTTATGACTTTTTATCCAAACTATGCCTCCTTTTAGTACCAAATGCCAATTTTTTCTTGTATATTATGAATTTTAACTTGTTATACAATGTTTCAAACATTTACAATTTTGAAAAAATCATATAAATTTGTTCAGATCTTTATCTTTATTATATGGCTATACTATGTCACAAGATTACATAACAAGTAGATAAAGCATGATATACAATTTGATGAATCGGAGTTTTGCCCACACAAACTAGAAAGGGGAAGAATCTGGGTAAACCAAATGATGCTTGCAATTTTAGGAAAAAATTAAATCGGATGTGCATTATAGTAATTTAGCCCTTTTAATTAGTAATTTAACCAAAACCACTGATATTTACAAACTGGGGATGTAAATCATTGTAATTAGTTTTTCTTCAGTCTTAGCTGTGTTACCTACCCAAAAATGAACCCTTTTAAACACCATTTGACTCGTATTTAGGACTTGCTAATTAAGATGGCAACTAATAACTTACAAGATTGAATTTGTCTGGGATCTGCAATGATATAAATATCAGCCAAGCTAAAGCCATCTATATATCCCTTTTTATCTTCTTGATCTCTCCTATGGCAGCACTGGCAACCTCCGTGTATCTGCCGAGCCACCACTTCTGTTCTTGATGACTTATTCTCACAGATCCATCCAAGTTGGGACATGCAAAGGCTGGAACGATTATCTTGTTAAAGAATAGTTTTTTCTTTTCTTTTCTGTTTTAGATTCTCACATATAACAAAGGTTTCTTCCTTTTTTATTTTTCCCCTGCTTTGGCAAGTTCTTATTTGTGTTTTCTCTTTATGTTTTTGGTGTATCAAGTGTTGGCAAAATATGGAACTAAGACAGTACTTACATAAGCAGACCAATATATGGTTCTGTAGAGATTTAATTACTTTCTATTTGTTTTTGAATAAGATAATTCTTGCAAGATGTTCCCAAAATTAACAACCACAACTTATCCAATTAAAACATTAAAAAGCAATTCAAACTGAATGTCATTCTATAAAGACTTATAATCAATTTCAATCTAGACCCACACTTGACTCTGTTTTTGGTATTGCATTTACTTCCTTTCACCACATACAAACAACTTCAAAGACGGTGTTCATGATTCTGTCTTAAGGTGAAAATTTTCACTAAAACATATCAAGTCTAAGATTTGATGATGAAGCCTGATGATATATTATTTTGTTGCCTAGATCTGATTTCGCTAATCTTCTCGTCTGTTGAATATGATGTTAAATAAGGGAAGCAAGTTGAGGAATATTGCTGAGGACTCGTTACTACTACTACTACTACGGTGAACTTGATTTGGCTTGATTACTTTCTCACAGGTTGGTAAATATGAGAGAACCAAGTAAAGATGCTGGATTATCAAATATACAAACTTTCAGATTCATTAGACTGCAGAATGATAGCTTGACCAAAAATTAACATCTGGAGGCAATTCTCTGTTGATGTTGTGAACTTGAACATAACCATATGCAATATTGAACTTTAAATGATTAATGTCCTGAGACATGGGTTGTGAGCTTTTTTATGCGGACTAATGATTCACACTTGTCTTGCAGGGACACAACTATTAGGATCCAGAAAGATTTTATTGAAGAAGTGATTGGCCTTAAACACTGTGATTGGGTAAATATGTTTCTGAGGTGATTTATATAGGAGGTGACATATTACTCCATCTGGGCCCAGTGGTAGACTTTTATAAGCTGGAACATTTCTTAACAACTCATCTATCACTGTCATCTCTTGCAGAATTGATAAATATATTCCTATACCTCATGCCAAGATAGTGGTGGCAAGGAAGCAGCAGTAGATAATTCCCCCTATTAAAACATGGTTACCACTAATGCCATGCATCAATGCCAATACTTGATATTGGTGTATAAGAAGCATAAGCCATAAATAATTAAACATCATATGTTACAGTTATACCATTCTCCCTAGAAATTCTAGTGGTGCTAACATCACATAAGTGACACAATTTCCTCATTAGTTGCCTCATTAGGGTAAGGGCTAAAAATACGTTTTTCTTTATCAGGGCTACAAATTATTCAGCCAAAAATTAGATTACCTTCATGGATTGAAGTCGAGCAAATTTTAATGTAACAGTAAGATTACTTCATTATGACCTATAGATGATTAAGTTCTAAATCATGAATCTTCTTAAATCTCATATTGACAGGAGACTTGTGTACTACATTCATGAGTGAATGTTTAAATATATATGCTTTATTTTTTTTTTTTTAGTTAAATGTATCAAAATGCAAAGTTTATTGTCTAATTTTCTAGAATCTTAAACACAATCTTAACAACAAAATAACTTATTTTCAATCAATAAATTAGGTAGTTAATTAAATAAGCGTTATCAAAATTTTGAGATAAATGTAAAATTGAGATTTTGCGGGAAATGCACGTGAAAGTTTCACGCCAAAATTCATCCACCCTTTACTTATTGGCGAGTAAGATTTAAGATTAAAAAAATATAGAGAAAATTAATGAATGTAAAAGAAAATTCACGTGGGTATAAGCTATTCTGATGCCATGGAATGGGTTTTTGGAAAATGGAAGTGATCCAAACAAAAAACTTTAACAATGTTAATTTTTGGCTTTCAATTAAATAATATTTAAGCAAAGTCTCCAATTCCAATGAGTTTGTAAGTTTTTATGTATCCTCCTAAATTTTAGTTTAACATTCTTTAAAAACTCATCATAATGTTAGGATTTTAAAATTATTTTACATATTGTATATTTAACTTAACCAAATTACCATGGTTAGTATCGGTTAACTTGGGTTTTTCTATATATACGTTAATAAACTAAGGATAAATATCGTATTGAATATTTGTAAAAATAAATATGTTATTTACAGACTGCTCAAGGATATATATATATATAT